AAGTCCCTCTTACAAAGGGGTTTTGATGTCATCAGGAGGTCTATACCACCCACATTCAGGAACAACGCAAGCTGGAAACCCTAGTCCTCTTCCCCTAGTCCCTGTAGAAAAGCAGTTATATCTAAGATACAGTGAACCTCTGTCTGGATTTCTTTGTGCCCTGCCTACTTCCAGCCCACTCCAGTAAGCCATCTTAAATCAAGTACAGTTTCAATCCATGTTGTGTAGTTTAATCCCACCCCCACCCCCAAATTATTCTAAATTGGGGGTCTTGATGAATTTCTGCTACGAAGAGATCCCTCTGGGATAGAAAAGAGAATCTCTGAGCACAGCTTCTGAGAGGGAAGTCAGGGCTTCTTGTTGCTGGACCAGGCTTGAGGAGTTGGAGGAGAGGCAGCTGGCAGGCCTGGGCAGGTCTCCTGGCTCTCCAGCATGGGCCTCACCCATGGCCAACAGGGTTTGCTCATTTGCTTTTCACATTTCTTTGAACTTCAGGCACCCTTTGGATGAGGAAAGGTCCAGGGGAAGTTTGAGAGATCTGACTGGAGAGGGCACAAGGACAGAGGGATACATGGCAGCTGGTTAGAAGCCCTTCTCTCTGGCCTGGGGTTCTGCTGAGGGTGGGGGCAGCGGGGAGCTGACCCTGGGGAGCTCAGGGACCAGGAAGCAAATCCAAGAGATGCATGTTCAAGTCTCTGTTCTGCCACTTGCATGCTGCAGCCTCACCTGCCTCATCAGGGAAAGGGCTTAATAATACAACTTGGTGGGGTGTCTGGGTGGCTCAGTTGGTTAAGTGACTCGCTCTTGATTCCTGCTCAGATCATGATCTCATGGTTCATGAGATCAAGCCCCATGTCTGGCTCTGTGCTGACAGTGTGGAGCCTGCTTGGGATTATATCAACTTCCCTCTCTCTCTGCCCCTCCCCTGCTGGCACTTTCTCTCTCTCACTATCTAAATAAATAAATAAACATTAAAAAAAAGATAATACAACTTGGGCTGCCTGCTTTGCAGAGGATTTGTGTGGAGGCCCAAATGAGTCATCAAGTGACCTTTACAAACACTGTCAATCAAGTACAGATAAATTAGTGTGAGCAAAGATGATGGTGGTGATGATGATTTCTACCTCCAGCCTGGTGTGAGGGACAAAGAGCACCAGCAAAATAAGTACACAAAAACACTGCAGAGGTGAAAGCTGGTGGCTGTGGCTCTACCAGCCTAGTGCTATGCTTGGTCCAAGGGCAAAGCTCTGGTGCCAGAGCTGCAGGTCAGAGCAGCGAATGTGCACCTGATTCCCCACCTTCTCCTCCTAGAGTCACCAAAATTCAGAGATTTAGAACAGAATAAAGAAAACTCATGGGGAAAGTTTTGAAGGCCCGGCCCAATTAATTTCATTTAAAATGTCATCCATTTATTGTAACATTTATTTCACAATTCTTTAAAGTATAGGAGGAGATTACACAAATACTATATTAGTAATCCTCATTTTATCTCCATTTTAAATAAAGAAATATTTAAAGATAATAAAGAAACCGAGGCTGAGATGAAGTAAATGAACTATCATGACACCGCTAGTAAGTTGCAGCAATTTACACTCGGGGTTTCAGTCTTTAAGTTCCGTGTTTCTGGAAACTGAAGTTCAACGAACTACAGAGCTAAAGAAAGACTGGGGAAGGAGGGCAGAGCAAGGGGAAAGGGGAGGGGGGAGGAGAGGAGAAAAAAGGGGGAAGAAGGGAGGAAGGGAAACAGTGAAGTAGGAAAGGAAAAAGGAAAAGAAGGAAGGAAAGCAAAAGTCTTTTGGGAAAGCAGAGGGTGCAGTTCATGCAATACACACAGGAAAAGGAAGCTTTGCATCTGTATGCGGACAGGTCTCGCACCGTGTCCACCGTGTCCCTGAGTCGACACACACAGACCGCTGCTGGAACTCTCTGCTCTGATTTCTGCAGAAGCCCCCGTCTCAGCCCGCTGCCCCCGCTGGAGGCTCCTTGGTTCGTTTGCTTGCGGATTCACGGCGCGGAGCCTCTACCGATAAGCCTCCGCGCCTCTGCACCAACAACTGGCCCGGTCTTGGGACCCCCGCGGGGGCCAGAGCAGGTGTCGTCGGGGATGTCTGGCGGATGTAGGGCGCCGGCCTTGGCCCTCCCGCGCAGCCCTCCGAGCCCCGGGCTTTGGCGATGCTTAAGGTCTACACGGAGTTCTGGAGGACTGAAGGTCGCAGTGACCGGAGAGGCAGAGGGGCCACAGGGACTGGCATCCCTCAGCACCGCCTGCAACAGGGTACCTTCGCATCAAGTTGCCCAGGTGAATCGATACATGGGTACAAATTAAGATGTGAAAAACGTTTGGAGCGAGCAAAAGAGCTCAGGTTCCCGTGAGCACATAGCTCACACGCTGAGAGCGGCGCGCGTGCTAGCCATGTGGCCGTTAATGCCCAGGTTCTGGGGAACTCGGTCTCCTGCGCTCTCTCCAGACAAAATGCAAGAAATTAAACAACTGGAAACAACAATCACAACTTGTATTCTCTCTGCGCCCGCCCCCACTGTTTTCTCCAATTTTGCCAAAGGTCTCAGGAACCCAACTTGACCGCTCCGCGCTACCCGGGGCCGGCGCCTCTTCCTAACCTGGTGCCTGGGCGCGGCCCCATTGCGTGCGCGCTCTGCTCCGGAACCGTGCAGGCAGGGCGCCAGAAGCTGGGGGCGGGAGTGGGAACGCCCGCGGTCGGCAAGGGGGCGCTCTCCTCTAACGGCCGTTGACCCGGATGAGCACAGTCTGCGCCCTGCAGCTGCAGTGGGCTTAGAAAGGGTCGAAACCGAATTCTTCCAGAGTCCACGACTGCAGCTCAAGTACCCCGGATGAGATCCCTTCTCCTTACCCCCTTCCCCCAACGAGCTGCCCTCCCCCTGCCTCGCGCGGCCCTAGCTCCCCGCTGCTCTTAAAGAGTATTTCTGGCCTGGGGATTTTTCTTGAGGAATTTCTGGCAGAGGGGTCCAACACGGGAAATGACCTAGGCTTCCCGGGGTAGGGAAGTCCGCCTAGACCGTGGACACATTCTCTCCGCACCCCGCCTTCTCCTGCTCCCTGATCTCTCCCTGGCGCCAGCCAGCCCCGCCGCTCCACCTTGGGTTCCAGGATGCTCTCCCGGTTGCTGGTCACCCACTTTCCAGCCAGCACCGCGCCCTGCTCCCTTTGCTGATCACACCGGCCCCGGGAGAGTAGCTGGTGGAGCACCTAGGCCTAGCTTGCTACTCCTGAATCCTGCCCAGAAAGGAGAGGGAAACTAAGCCATCTATTTATGTGCAAAGCGGGATAAAATTATCCTGGGCTCTAGAGGTTAAAACCGGGACTTAAACACGGAGAATTTGCTTTTCTCTATCCATTTCCCGTGGGATCCGCAGAGCCCGTTCGGGAGCAAGCGTTGCACACAAGGTACCTGTGAATTCAGTGCGCACTAGCACATTGAAATTTGGTCTTAGAACTTACAGGGCTTTACGTGTAAAGTTATATTAACATCTAGCATCATGTAGAACTTAAACTTTCATATGTATTATCTCACCAATCTTCACAACCATGTGAGTTCAAGTCTTATCATCCTCATCAGGTTTAGGAAAAAAGGCCTAGAGAGGTATCTGACTTGCCCAGAGTCTCACGTTAAGTGATCAAATACTGAATACAGGTCCTGACTTCAGACCTCGAGATCCTCCTACTGTCCTCCCACAACGATTCTACCTCCTTTCAGGGTCACCTCTGCTAAGCCCTGAACAGGGATGGCGCTCAGTAAATATTTGTAGATTGAATTCCAGGATCTGATCAAACTGTATGATTGCCGTGTTTTATCCAGTAGGGTGTGGCTAAGCCTTATTTACTCACCCACTTATTCACTCACTTATTGGGCAGTTCCTGAGCGCCTACTGTGTGCGGGAGCCGAAGTAAGAGCCAGGAGGACAGCCTGCACACACGACTGGGTATGGAAGGAGCTGTCCTCTGGGTCAGGGGGCAGGCATCTGGCATCTTGGAGAGACTGCCGGGGGCTCCCAACCTTCAGCCCTGCAGTTCAGCTCAGGCCCAGAACCAGTGGCCTATCTCTGGGGTGTCAAGATGAGAAGAACTCAGGAAGTCACAGGGCAACACCAGAGCAATGATTGTGAGGAGCGGGACAGAGAAAAGAGAAACTACAACCAGAAGGAGATTCCCTTAGAGAAGAGCTAGAGAGGAGGGAGCTGGAGCACTTGCGGACATCTGAGACGAGGATGTGGTGGGACTAGGGGTATTAAGGGAGAGACATTAGCGGCAGAGGGAATGAAGGGGAACTGAGACAAGCAGGGAGCCTCTTGGCTCGAGGAGGCCCTCGGTGATCGCTGCATAGAACCCCATGCGTGCAGCCCCAGCCCACGCCAGTGACTGGCCGCCAAAGTAGGCTGGGGGCGAAGCTGTTGAAGCCCGGGTCGTTTTAGAAAAAGAACAGAAATGTTCTCTCAAGAATAATTCACGGTCTGCTCGGTGGGGTTTCATGGTCGTGTCTCTTGCGCCTGGCCCTGACCAGAGAAACCTGTTTGGCTTCGGTTCTCCATGGGCCAGGAGGCGGAGGAGGTGGTGGAGCCTGGCTCGGGGAGGCCACCAACAGTCGGGACGAGGGGCTGGGGTCTGGCTCCCGCTCCGGGGCGAGGTGACAGCGGGCGGCGCCAGCCTCCCGGCTCTGCGACACCTGCACCGGGAGCGGGCGGAGCGAGAGGCGGTCCCGGGGGCGTCCGGGCGCGGATTCCCGGGAGGGACTCTGGAGGCAGCGGGGCGGGCCGGGGAGGGCGCCGGGAAGTGGCCCTCCCTCCCGTCTCCCCTCCCGGCAGGTCGGAGCGGGGCCGCGGGGCCCTGGACGCTGGGAGTGGGCCCGCGCGGAGACGGAGGGAGGGGCCGCGCCGCCTTCGAGAGTCATTGGAGGACGCGGCCGCCCGAAGCTGATAAATAAGGGGACGGGCCCGCGGCTGCCAGCCAAGCTGGACGCCCGACCCGCGCGAGGGCCAGGTCAGCGCCTGCCCGGCGAGGCGAAACGAGGGGAACCCCGTTCGGCCATGGCCTCGCTGTTGGGAGCTTACCCGTGGCCCGAGGGGCTCGAGTGCCCGGCCCTGGAAACCGAGCTGTCGGATGGGATGTCGCCACCGGCCGCCCCCCGCGCACCGGGCGACAAGGGCTCGGAGAGTCGTATCCGGCGGCCCATGAATGCCTTCATGGTGTGGGCTAAGGACGAGAGGAAACGTCTGGCCGTGCAGAACCCGGACCTGCACAACGCCGAGCTCAGCAAGATGCTGGGTGAGTAAGCCAGCGGCCGGGCGGGACGCCCCGGGAGGTCGGCAGGCCGGGAGGAGGGGGAGGGGGCTCCTGGTTGGGGGCCCCGCGGGGGGACCTGCGAGCGCTCGGAGCGTGGGTAGGAGGCGGCGAGTGGGTCTGCTGGGGGAGCGCGGGTGCTCGCCGTGCCCGCGAGGTTGGGCATCTGTGCGAGCGTGGGTGTGCGCGCAGCGTCCGGGGTTCAGAGCAGGGACACCTCGACGGGGCCCAAAGCGAAACCGCGCGGCCCGCTGGGGTGCGCCAGGAAGCCCGCTGGCGGGAACGGGAGCGGAGTTTGGGGTCCCAGGGCAGAGCCCGGCGATGGAGACCCGCGCGCACCGACAGGTCGAGACCGAAACGCCTGGGCCGGGTGAAACTGGTGTTTGCTGGGAATGCCGAAGCGGGAAACCCGCCATTCCCTGCACGCTACCACTGGCACAGTCACGGAAGGTGGTTGTACCATTATCAACGAATATTCGTGAAGAGAGAGCTTGTGGGAACGCAGCCCTTCTTTAACTAAATTGTTAAGCCAAGAGCGAAAAGTACGCACAGAGACTCGATTCGATAGTGTATTTCTCAATCGCAGGAGCGTAATTTGATTGGGATGCTCGGGCCGCCCGCGAGGTCTGTCGTGGCCGCCACTTTCCCAGGGCTGCTGCGCAGTCCCAGCAGGGGCAGCCGGGCTGGGGACAGGGACAAGCCAGACGGGGGGAGTCCAGAGAAAGGATGTTAGATCACGTCGGAAAAGCCTGAGTTCCAACGGGTTTCCTCAGGGCTTCTCTCCCGCATCTGGAGCTGAGCACTTTCAGCTTGGCTCAGCTGCACGCTCTACTCCTAACCTTTCGGCCTTTCGACTTATTTTTATTCATTTTAAGTGGTGGAAACCTTTCACATCATTTCGTAGGCACAGTAGGCGCCAGGCCCCGAGAGAAGGGACAGTATGGGGTTACCGCAGGCTGGCCTGACCCTCCACAACCCCACCCTGCCCAGAACTGAGCCTTTTTTCCTTTTCCCTCTAGAGCTCAGAACTGAGGCTGAGAGCTGACACCCACCTTCCTGCTGGCCAAATCTGCAGGCCCGCAGAGAGGGTCCCTCCTGCAGTCGAGGCGCCCTTTCAAAGCAGCTGGTTTCAAAAAGCCTGCTACCCATGGCCCAGTCCCCTGGCTAGATGTGTTGAGGATACGCTGGTGGGTCAGTGTCTTAATGAGCCCCTTTCTTCATAAAAATATTTAAAATTATATTTAATACTGCGGTGGCATAAAGACAAATATATTAATATATACAACAGTAAAGCATTTATCTAAGAGTTCATTTTTTTCTTCAGGTTTCTTCTTTTAAAGCTTATTTATTTATTTTGAGAAAGGTGGGGGAGGGGCAAGGAAAGGGGGAAACAGAATCCCAAGCAGGCTCTCCACTGTCAGTGCAGAGCCAGATATTGGGCTCGAACTCAGGAACCATGAGAGGATGACCTGAGCCGAAATCAAGGGTCCATCGCTTAACTGATGAGCCACCCAGACGCCTCTTTTTCTTCAGGTTTCTAAAGAAATGAAAACACTTTGTGTGTGTGTGTGTGTGTGTGTGTGTGTGTGTGTGTGTGTACCTCTCAACATTTTTTTCAGTGGGCCCAGGCTCTGTGCCTCTTGCTGAACTGCAGCTCTTGTGATCAGGACAAAGTGAGGTTTCTGTTGGGGGCCCAGGCCAGAGGTAGGAGAGGAGCTCAGGCTGGGGTATCCTCCCGGACTCAGGCTGCCTGCTTCCATGGAAAGGGCAGGCAGAAAGACCTGCATGACAAATGCCTCTAGTGAGCTGATCCCTGTTGGCAATTTGCATTTAGGCCTCCAGAGGTTATAGTTTATTTTGCAGGAAAGACACTGATTCCTTCCTGCTTAACCACACAGCCCCTGACCCTGGACAAGAGGAACCAACAAATTTTTAAAATGCAGACTGTCTACACCTGTTAACGGGGGAGGTGGTGGCAGGATGATTGACTTCCACTCCATGATCTCGCCCAACCCTTTCCTTTCTGACCTAGGAAAGAGTCCCAACTCTTTTGACTGTAAGCTTTCCCATCTTTAACATTAAAAACATCACCCAGTAGCACTGGTATTTTCAGTATGCTATGAATGAGGAGGAACATAAAGACAGTTTTACATTTAGTGGTATTTACAATAATTCTTTTATTAATACTATGACAATCCATATACACTTAGAAACTAGAGTTCCATTTTATATTCAGTTCACAGACAGGGTGTGGGGTGTGCCTGCATCTTGGGCCTCTTGCAACAACTTTGCAGTCTCAGTCACAGGCTGGGAACTGCTGACCAACTCCAAATCCAGAGTTCCTGACACTTTTCAAGTTGCCCTTTTAAGTGACAGCTAATTATATTAATTGATGACTCTGTCACAATGGTTATACACTTTCATTCCAGTGGTGGGGTGCTTTTAATAATCATCTTCCTCCTTTGAGGGCCAGGCATGCAGAGTCAGCCAGTGTGGGTACCCAGGGAGCAGTTACACACACCTCTGCACTGGTCTCTGTGCAGAGTGCTCTGGGCGGGACATGTGGCCCCTTTCCTTATAGAGCTTGAGGATGGGGGTGCTTACCCTCTGGACCAGTAGTCTCAAACTTTAGGATACATCAGAATCATGTGAGGAACTTTCAGATTTGCAGAATCCTGAGTCTACCTTAGGAGGTAACAATCTAAGGGGTCCAGAAATGACCTTCAGAAAGCCAGCAACCAAAGAGGGATGTGCAGTGAATATACTGATAGGTGAAAGAGAGGTGCTAAAGCAACTTACAAAATGATACAAAAGGGAGTAAGGATGCATAGAAAAATCAAGTGAAACCATCATTTTATCACCAGTGGGATACAAGTGTGGGATTCTTCTTAAAGATAGAATTTTGAATTGGATAGTATCACATTTTATAGTGTGGAAAATAGAGTCCCAGGGAAGTTAAAGAATTTGCTTCTGCACGGATAATCAAAGACTGAGAAGCTGCCCTCTGCCACAGTGCAAGGGTACTAAGTAGGTGACAGGGGGCCTTGGCATGAGTGTGTGCTGGCATACATGTGTGTGCATGCATGTACATGTATGCATGTGTGTGCCTGTGCATGCATGTGTGTTCGTGTGCACGCATACTTGTGTGCCTGTGCATACATGTGTGTGCGGGTGCCTGTGCATGCATGTGTGTGCGGGTGCCGGTGCGTGCATGTATATGTGCATGTTGCAGGCAGATGCTAGCATTCTGGCCACCATCTTTGTATGGCAGAGTCATAACTGACCTTCAGATGTGAAGGATAATGGTCTGTTACCCTAAGTGAGATCCTATAATTTACTTACATCTGTGAAACGATTGACTGAGCCTGAGTTCCCTCACAAGAAGGCCTCTGAGATTTATGCCATAAATAAATATAGCATCACTTCCCGAGAGGCAGCAATAATCAGCAAAGGCTGAGAATTTTCATTAAAATGCACAAATAATTTGTGGACTTGGTCCACTAAGCGTAAAAAAGAGCCCAAATCAATGTAGTCGCTATGTATTTTTATCCTGTGTCTGACCCCAGTTCAGGGGGGCCTTTCACCCTGAATCCCGCATGGCTCACATTTATAGGAGAGTTGATGTGATGGTGCGCGGCTGACGAGTGATTTTGCAGGATGCAAGCGGGAGAGGTTGGCTTGGCCTCACAGAGCCAAGAAGGGGGTGCGAGGAGGGCGGTGTCCTCTGTGTCCTTTGTGGAGTGGGGGAACCCGCGGGTGGGATGAGCGACGGAGGTTGAGGGCGTGTGCGAGTGTGGACGCTGGGAGCACCAGTGCCTGGACAAGGGCACCGGCCTCCCCGAGCGCACGGATGCTGAAAGCAGCTCTCTCTGACTTGTGTGAGCAGGAAAGTCGTGGAAGGCGCTGACGCTGTCCCAGAAGAGGCCCTACGTGGACGAGGCGGAGCGGCTGCGCCTGCAGCACATGCAGGACTACCCCAACTACAAGTACCGCCCTCGCAGGAAGAAGCAGGCCAAGCGCCTCTGCAAGCGCGTGGACGCGGGCTTCCTCCTGAGCTCCCTCTCCCGAGATCAGAACGCTCTGCCGGAGAAGCGGGGCGGCGGCCGGGGAGCGCTAGCGGAGAAGGAGGACAGGGGTGAGTACTCCCCGGGCTCCGCCCTGCCCAGCCTGCGGGGCTGCTACCACGAAGGGCCGACTGGCGGCGGTGGCACCCCGGGCAGCGTGGACACTTACCCGTATGGGCTGCCTACGCCCCCGGAAATGTCACCCCTGGACGTGCTGGAGCCAGAGCAGACCTTCTTCTCGTCTCCCTGCCAGGAGGAGCATGCGCACTCACGCCGCATCGCCCACCTGCCGGGGCCCCCTTACTCACCGGAGTATGCCCCCAGCCCCCTCCACTGCAGTCACCCTCTGGGCTCCCTGGCCCTCGGCCAGTCCCCAGGCGTCTCTATGATGTCCGCTGTACCCGCCTGCCCCCCGTCTCCTGCCTATTACTCCCCTACCACCTACCACCCTCTCCACTCCAACCTCCACGCCCACCTGGGCCAGCTCTCCCCACCTCCCGAGCACCCCGGCTTTGACGCCCTGGATCAGCTGAGCCAGGTGGAACTCCTGGGGGACATGGATCGCAATGAATTCGACCAGTATTTGAACACTCCTGGCCACCCAGACTCTGCTGCAGGGGCCGTGGCGCTCAGTGGGCATGCCCCGGTCTCCCAGGTGACATCGACAGGCCCCACAGAGACCAGCCTCATCTCCGTGCTGGCTGATGCCACGGCCACGTACTACAACAGCTACAGCGTGTCATAGAGTCCGAGGCAGCCAGCCCAGCCCTGCCTCGCCGCCGGAGCCCTATCCTCGCGCACGAGCAGAGCAGAGCGGATGGCACAGCGCTCCCAGCTTTCCTCCAACCGTCGGGGTGTGCAGGTCGGAACTGTCCGCGGGGCAGAATGGGGCTCTGCCTATCTGAGGGCCCCTTCGCGCTCCCTGCAGCCTGCATTTGAGTGTATTCCTTCAAATGGGCTCTCATTGACTACACCCTGGGAACAAGGCAAGGTAGTTGCTGAAAGATGGTTTCCTGGTAGATTTTCATTTTTTTCTCCCGCTCCCCATCATGGAAACAAACGTGTGAAATCCCAGCGGCTTTCTTGTATCTCTGGCTTTCTTGTATCTCTGGCTTCTGACACAGCCGCATGGCTCACAGCCGTCCTGATCTTTGGGTCCTCTCTATGAGGAAATCCCCGAGTTGGGATCCAGGGGACCCCGGCTCCAGTCCCAGTTCTGCCTCGGAGGGTTGATGGAACTCCCACTCTTCTCTCTTCCCCTTCCAGCTCCTTCCCCCAATCTAGGAAGGGGGGGGGGCGCAGACTTGATATCTAAGGCCCCTTCTGCTCCAGGTGTTCTTTCAAGGCTAATTAAAAGGAAAATGAAGTTTGAGCTAGTAAGTTCATTGATGGCCAACCTGCCAATAACTCTGTGTGCATGGTCCAAGAACAAGTGACTTTCTGCACTTGCAGTGCCTTTCAAAACGATCATAGTCTTTCAAAAGGAGTCCTCAGATTTGAGAAACAACACCCGTCTTTATTTGGAAAATTAAACACTAGGCTTGACTGCATCACTTGAATTCAAACCATTGCTTTTTAAACATATTTTAAAGGCTAAATTAATTTTTTAATTACACACACATTTCAAGAGAATATACACAGCCTGAATATATACAGTGTCTGTGGGACACACACAACACACACACTTTCATGCATGTCTGCGCAGTCTAAATCAGATACTCTTGTTGATGTTGGCAGCTTCTTGTCAACTCCCTGTTCCTAATGACCCAAAGAACTGGGAACCTAAAAAGAATTTCTACAGAGCAATGTCATTTACCTCCTATCTAGATTTGTTGATTTCTTGAGCAAAATGTCATCATACTTCCCCCTCTGCAGGTGCAAAAGAAGCTTCCTTCTCTCTGTCTCTGACTCCCCTTCTTCCTTTCCCAGGATTTCTATTTTTCTTCTTCACTGTTCTTCCTCTGCCCATGAATTGGCCATGAATTCAAAGATCCCCTGAGTTAAAAATCCTAAGCATAATTCCTATGGCTGAGATGGGAATTTGCTCTCTTCCCTAGCCAGCTGGTTCTTGGTAGCACCTTCAGCCAACACTTCAAACAACTTCCCCTTCACTATACTTACTTCCCAAAGAACAGAAACACACTGGGATACAGAAAATGTTTCTGAGCCCTGACCCCATCCCAAAAACATTTCCATCCTTTTCCCAAACCTCCTTTGAAGGAACATAACTAGCAATGAACAAAAAGACAGCTGTCTGTCTTTCAATTGCAGCATATTATTATTGCCTGTATGAAATATGTAAGTGTTTTATATATTCTCCTATTTTCAGCTTATATTTTATATTGTTGAGAGATCCTTTTTTTTTCTTCCAAGGAGTTCTACTGTAAAATTACTTATAAGATATAATTAATCTTTATGCTATTGCTGTATACATTTGGTAATAAATAGTAAATCATTGACAATATGATTGACTGGTGCAGTCCAGAATGTATATTAATAATCTTGTAAAACATTATCACAGACATTAAGCTAAACTGTTCCATTTTTTTTTTTTTGGTAAGAACTACACATGCTTTGGAACATTTGTAGATATTGATCTGTCTAAAATATTTAATTTAAATAAATGTTTTTGTACCATGACCATGCTATCATTTGAAGTAGATTTTTGCAAACAGAAAAGGCTTTCAAGGGTAGCATAGATATGCCCAGTTCTACTTTATAGTATTGGTCAGAATATTTTCTACATCAAGTTTTTTTATTTTAAAAAGTTACCTTGTATGGGGCGGTTTATTTTATTTTATGAATTATGGTGAAGAGATAAAGCCTAATTTGACACGTTGGGGAAAACGTTGTTATCATTAATATTGAAAAAAAAAAAAGACTAGTTCATAACTTACCTGCAGAACAATTTTCTCTTCAGGATGACTTCACGCTTGTGAAGTAGAATGAGGTAATTATCAGGCACTCTCAAGATAGAATGTAAATTCTCCCCAATAACTTGCTTCCTTAAAGCTAACTACATGTTTTCCTTCTTTGAAATAATCTAGAAAAATACTTAGCTTTCTCTCTTTCCTATGCAATTTATCAATGTGGCATAACAAGACACTGTAGTCTCCCCCAAACCCGGTGGAATGTTGAGGAGAAGGCAGAGAAGCACTCAGATTGGTAATTAGAGGATGTAACATCTTGTGAGGTTTTGGGATTAAAATCCCAGCCAAGAAGTGCCTGGAAAAATTGGATGATTACTCAGTCCCCTTGCGGGTCACCATGCCTGGCTCCTCTCCATGGGGAAGCAGTTGTAACTTGTTCAAGTCAAGGGCAGCCTTGTGTTCTCCCAGGCTCTCTGGGCCAAGAAGTGGGTACTGGGAGGGCCCAAATGGGCATATATTTGTCCTTCAATTCCGATCATAATCTATAGTCATTACTTTAATAGCACTTTATAGCTGTAGGGAGATTTATGGCAAGTTTTATGGGGTAATTCTCACCCACAATCCCAGGTGAGACACTGTTACCCATCCACCCCTTTGTGCAGCCCAGGACACTGAGGTCCAGGGTGGAAGGGGGTGCAGTGTTAGCTCACCTTGCTCAGTTAGGGGAGGCTGGGGTTCCCGCACTTTGTAGATACGTTTGTTTGTTGGCAGTGTTGCCGAATGGTCTCACAGCTAGAGGCTTCATGCCTTTTTTTAGCACTTCACCGTGGCATGGAACTACATGCAGTCCAGTTCATGCCTCTCACCACTCAGGGAAAGAGAGAATGAACAAGGAGGAAATATAGGGTCAGAGTTAGATGAAACCCAAATTCATTGCCGTCCAGGCTCACCACCGTGGCTGGCTGACACTGCCAGTCTGCAGGGTCATCAGCTGGCTGGAGGACAACTCGGGCAGTGTCTGTACAGGACATCGGCCCTCGGCACTGCCAAATAGGCATATTTCATTCCAGGACACACTTTGGGGGCGGGGGCATTGTCCCTGCTTCTGGGAGGGCAGGAAACAGGCAGGCGACAGAGCTGCTCTTTCACTTTAGCTCAGCTATGAGTGAAACAGTTGTGCCCAGAAGCCAGGAGTATTTCAGAGTTTTAGCTGCTCATTCTGAGAACCCACCTGCCCCCAGTGACAAGAGCACCTTTTGCTTTGGCTAATGAGAATTGATGAGTATACACAGTTGTCCATTTTCCCCCAAAAATGTAGATGTTACTACTTCACTCTTCCCTGAGATCCTTCAGTACCTGTTCATTGCCCATGGCGTCCAGGGTGAGCACAGAAGTGGGATCACGTGAATACAATGAGGCTTATGCTTCCGGGCGTCTCACTTATTAGCCCTGGAAATGTACACATGTCCCCTGCCCCCTCACCTTCCAACTGTGTGAGCTTCAGGATCCACAACTCCCATGTGAGTGCCCCTATGGCTACCCTTCTTCCTCTTTCCAGAAACCTTTCACAGCAACCTCCACTGCCCCATCATGGTATACCTGCTGCACGAAAAGCCTATTATTCTCTGAAATATTTTCCTTTCCAGTACATCTGTGTTTATCCAATGCTCTTCCCCAATGTGAGAGACTCTCACTCCCATCACCTATCTGCTGACATCCCACACACTGTCCAAATTCATTTCACATGTTCCCAGCCCTACCTGGCAGAGGGGCCAGTCACTGTCCTCCTTGAGCAGGCCTTGGTTACAGCACTTACTGCCTGGCATTGGAATCATCCACCCATATGCATCTTTCCTAGCAGGGCAGACACATAGTAGCTGCTCAAAAATAACATGAATGAATAAATGAATAAACATCTGAGGTGTCCCAGTTAATCTTGGTGATAAAAACTTAAAACTTCTTGGTCCCTAATTTTCCTGCCCATCTCTTTGGACACCACCATCCTGGAGCCTTTGTGTGTGTAGTTCTCAAGGTTCTGAGGCTGGATGTGATGCATCCATGGCTATTCATTCTTACCTGCTAGAGTGTAGTCTGTAGCAAACAGGTTAGGAATGGGTGTGAGGGCATGGGAGGGGAATCTCTTCTCCCATCCCATTCTAGAGCACTGAATAAAGCTGAGGACAGATGGTTTGTAACGTTTGTAATAGCCTACTTTTATTTTGAAAATTATGCTCTTGATTTCATCTCAATGAAAGGGATTTGGAAGGAAGGGAGAGGGGAGGGAGGGAGAAAAGGAGGAAGAAAGAAAAGAGATCTATCTGTCTGTCTGTCTGTCTGTCTCTCTATCTGCCTACCTACCTATCATCTTTTTAATCTATTTATCCATCCATCCACCCATCCATCCATCCATTCATCCATCCATCCATCCATCCATCCATCATTGTCTGCCTATCTATCATCTATCTTCTATTGATATTTAAATTCTCAAAAGAGACAGAGTCTTTGTAGGAAGTTTAGAGAAGAAAAGATCATCTATTATCCACAACTTTGAGACATTACTGGTAAATTTTTACATATGTCCGTTCAATCTTTAAATTTTTTTTGTCTAGCCCTACATGTACATATATCTTCCATAATAGACATTTTCATTCATTAATATTGAGTCAGCATTTTCTTATGCTATTAAGCTTAATTTTTCTGCAAAAGCTTGTTTTCTTTCCAGTTGAAAAGTTAATATGGAAAATTTTTGAAAAACAGAAAAATCACCCACTCCATAACTTTGACATTACTATTTATTGAATATGTTCATTTTGGTATACAAAACTTCCCAGTCTTGTATTTACATATTCAAAATTGTACCTGGTGTGATCACAGTGTAGATACAGATACCACTAGTATTTGGCTTTATTCTCTCAAAATCCTGTTATAGAAGTTTTGCCATATTGATATTTGTCTTTGTCGTATCATTTCTGATGATGGCTTAGTACTTCAGAGCATTGATGTAGCTTAACTTATTTGACTGCCCCCTTGCTATTAAATTTTTCTATTTTTTTCCAATCTAAGTAACAATGCAGCGAACAGTTACTTTTTTATGTCTTTGGCTAGATTTCCAAAAGGGTATCACCAGGTAGACAAATGAACAAGTTTATAGCTTTTTCCTTTGAAGTGCTTGTTTCTTGGTTTTCCCAATGAGCCTCAATTGGTAGTGAAGGCACAAAATGACTCCATTCAATTCCCAGAGTGAACTGACTTTTCCTTAACAAAAAGAATTAAAACTCCTGAAGACTACTTATGACTGACTTAAATCTGACCATTCTCAATTGGCTTCACTTGTCACGGTGGCTTTGTCTTTCTACACACACCTATTATGTGCTCATTGTTGGTTTCCATTGGCAAATTGTGAGTGTTCCTTTCCCCAGACATCAAAGAATGCCCTTCTCTGAGTATCAAGTTACAATATAGGGGAAAGGATTATTCTATCAACAAGGTGGCTGGGTTGGTTCCAGAGTTATTCAGATCACCATTAGCACTGCTGGCTGCATTCACATGGCACTGAGATTTCTAGACACCTTAGGAGGGCGTCTGGAAAAAGCCTGGACCTGGGGGAGGAGTCTGATTTTACCTCATCACTGGATTTTAATTGGGACATGAGTAAATCCCTGGACCTGTTGTCTCATCAATGGGATGGTGAATTTGTAGGCACTTGAGAAATTTTAAACTTTATATGAATGTACAGGATACCTATTGCCTATTTTATTTTATTTTATTTTTATTATCATTATTTTTAAATGTTTATTTATTTTTGAGGGAGAGAGAGACAGAGCATGAGTAGGGAAAGGGCAGAGAGAGAGGGAGACACAGAATCAGAAGCAGGCTCCAGGCAGAGCCTGGCGCTGGACCGGCACTGGGCTCCCGCTCACAGACTGTGATACCTGAGCTGAAATTGGATGCTTAATGGACTAAGTCACCCAGGCTCCCCTATTTTAGATTTCTTTAAACAATTCAGATTTTTTTTAGGCTTGGAGGCTGGTACAAGTTTGAAAAATCTGGATCCACATGATTATCATACTGGGGTTTGCTTGTGTGGGAGAAATAAGAGAAAAGGACCCCCATATATGGCTGGGGGGAATCACAGATGACTCACTCAGTTTCCTTGTATGGACACTGAGTGGTATTGGAAGAGACCATGGGATCATTCAGACCATTCTCCTGCCTCTACTGAGGACTGCCTCTTAGCCACTCTTGGCAGACAGCTTTCCATTTGGTCTGAGAGTCCTCTAGAAAAAGGGATCTTTCTCTCTGTAAGCTGGTTTGACAACATCCACCATCAGAAAGTTTTCTTCTACTTCACCTAACTCCTCCTTGCTGCAGTCCAAATCTGTGTGGGCTTGACGTCATCTGTGGAGAGGGACACAATTGTCCCCATCTTGCCCGGCTAGTCCTCATCCTTGCAGGATGGTGGCCACATTCCTTCACTCACTGTGCTGTTGTGTCTGAGGCCCGGGTAGGGTGTGGTTTCCTCCAGGTCCTCTCTGAGGTCTGCATTCCCCTTAATCAGAGGTTGAACCTTGTAGGGATGTGGGAGGGGAGGGAGGAGGAAGGTCTCATTGTAGGTTCTGTGCATAAGAGAGGTGGGGGATTTCACCAGAGAGTGGGAGTGTGGCTCTGGGCACTTGTGGAATGTTCCACATGCAGGCATAGGGTGTGGGCATTTCCCAGAGGGTCACACAGCTGAGTTGAATGGTGGGTTCCCTGGC